AAAATAATTTGTTGATTGAACTTCAAATCTTGTAATTCAAGTCACTTTTCATAAATCTTGAGCGAGATCAAGAAACTAAATATTAATTTGTGTAGAATTGAAGTTCTGATTATATTTAATAAAGCTATTCTAATTACATATTAAATTAATTATTTTTTTATATATTTTAATTATAAAAAATAATTAATATTATATATAATTAGAAAATTAGAATAGCTTTATTAGATTAAATCTGAAAAATCTAAAATAATATGTATTAAAATATGTAATATCATCTTTATTTTAATATAAAAATAAAAAATATTTATTAGTAAAATTAAAAATTATTATATAAATAGAAAAATTTATACTTTACTATATTTAATTAACAAATTTTAATATTATTATATTATTTTTAATTGTCTCTATAATTAAATAACTTATAAATTTTTTAAAATAAATTTTAAAATTATTTTAGAATTTAGTTATAAAAGCTTTAAAAATAAATAAATTTTATTTAAAAATTAAAAAAACAAATTTTTTAATATATTAATCACATATTTTTTTAATTAAATCAAAAATTATAATATATATTAATTTAAAGATTATAATACAATTTATAATATTATAATAATAATAATAATAATTTTACAAATTTAAAAAAAATTATATCTTTTAAAAATAGCAAAAAAACTAAAAAATAGTAAAAATAATTTATTAAATATTATTATTTTATCTTTTATTTTATTTTTATATTATTAGTTTATTTTTTATTTTATTATTTTATCTTTTATTATATTTACTTTTATTATATTACTTATTACTTATTATTTTATTTTATATTTTATCTTTACTTAGTATTTTTATGAACTAAACTAACTAAATTAAATTTTTATTAAAATTCAAATTAATTTAAAATTTAAATTAAACTTGAATTAGACTTTGATTTGAGTTCAAGAAAAATTTCAAGTTTGAACTAATTTTGAATTAAATCTTTATATAAGTTTGAGTCTTATTCAAGTTTGAGTTTGATTTAAATTTAATTAAAAATTAATATATAATATTATTTATCAATTTGTAGCTCTAAATAAAAGATATAATTTTAATTATAAATGCTAATTATATTATTTAGTAAAAATTAAAAGTTTATTTAGTGAGAAATAAATTATTTTTATTTTTATAATTATTAAATTTTATTATAAATTCTTTGAATAATTATTATTAATAATAACTATTTTATATTAAATTATAACTTTATTTATATATTTATAATTATATTTTATTATTACTATAGCAAAATAAATATTTACTATAAAATAATTAAAATCATAAAAATTAAAAATAATTTATAAATCTAAATATCTTATTGAATATTTATTTTTAATATAACTATCTTATATTAATTTGTAGTTCCAATTATAATCTATAAGTTTCCTTAGAATCTCATTGAATATTTGATTGAGCTTAAACTGAATATTTGATCAAATTTAAATTAAATTCAAAATTTAAACTGGATTTAAATCAGACTTTTAATTGGATTCAAATTTTTGAATTAAATTTTTGATTAGATTCAAGTTAGATTCAAGCTTGAACTGAACTAAATTCAAATTAAATCAGATTATTTTTCAGAACTCTAACTTTTATTACTTTGATTACTTTAATTATTAATTTCATTAATTTATTTATTAAATACAATAAAAAATTAATAAATTATTAAAATATAATAAAATATTATCTAATTAAATTTATAATATAAATTAATTAATAAAATAAAAACTAAATATTTATATTATAATAATATATAATTTGTCAAAATTTTTATAATTTTGCTTTAGTATTTGATAAAATAATTTTAGTAAGTATTTTTAATTATATTCAAATTACTATTTAAAATTTAATTATATTAATATAAATATATTATAATTATTATATTACAAAATAGTATTATATATAAAATATTTTAAACAAAGTTAAAATATAAAAAAATATAAATAGTACAAATTAAAAATACTTAGAATTTTATTTTTATATATTTATATATTTCAATAAAAATTTTTAAATTAAATAAAAGTTAAGATATTCTTAAACAAAATAAATAATATTAAAAATTTTGAATATTTAAAATATATAATATTATTATAAAAGTTTTAAAATAAAATTATATATATATTGATAATTAGAAATAATATAATAATATTAAAATTTATTAATTAAATATAGTAAAATACAAATTTTTCTCTTTATATAAAAGTTTTAAATTTTACTAATAAATATTTATTATTTTTATATTAAAATAAAAAGAATATTATATATATTTTTTTCAGATTTTTAGATTTAATTTGATAAAGCTATTCTAATTACATATAAATCAATTATTTTTTTATATATTTTAATTATAAAAAATAATTGACTTTATATATAATTAGAATAGCTTTATTAAATTAAATCTAAAAAATCTGAAAAAAATATAATACTCTTTTTATTTTAATATGAAAATAAAAAATATTTATTAGTAAAATTTAAAACTTTTATAAAAAGAGAAAAATTTGCATTTTATTATATTTAATTAATAAATTTTGATATTATTATATTATTTCTGATTGTCACTATAAGTTAAATTTTATAATATTATAAGTATTTATTAATTTGCTTACAAATTGCTAATTTTGCAATAAAAAATATCATTTTTATTATATTTTAAAAGTATTCTTGATAAAATTAATATTTTTAAAAATAATAATAATTTTTAATTAAAATTACTAATATAAATAATTATTAAAAAAATAAATAATTATTATTTTACAAAATTAATTTGAAATATAATAATTATTTATTTTTATTATTTAATATTTTGTTAATATTTGTAGAGCATATTATATTATTAAAAATTCAAAAAAAATAGTATAATATAAAAATTAAATTTTCTTACTATAATAAAAATTTTATTTTTATTAATATTAAAATAAAGCTAAAAATTTGTATTTTAACAAATATTTTTTGTGTAAATTTATTAGTAACTATTGCTAAATTTTCTTAGCTAATAAAATTATAAAGATCAATATAATTAATCAGTTAAAATACAAAATTAAGTAATACTTTTTAAAAATTTTGTAATACATTATTATTGGTAACAAGTAATTTTTATAATTTATAAATTTAACAAACTTTTATAATTAAAATTTAGTAAATTTTAATTTTAATTATAAAACTAACTTTACAATCAAAAATATTCTTGAAATTAAATTTAAAAAATTTATAATATTAAAATACAAATGCTTAGTTTTAATTTTGATATAAAAATAAATATTTACTAATAAAATAAAAATTTATTATATCTTTTAATATATTACTAGAAACTCCAAAAATTGATTAATCACTTTGGAACCTGATATTTTAACATTTAGTAATTCTATTCAATAAAGATATCATCACTAAATTTGTATAATATCTTTGTTAAATAGAATCACTAGATGTCAAATATCAGATTCCAAAGTAACAAATTCATTTTTGGAATTTCTGGTAATATATTATAGTGGTATATAAAGATAAAATTTCAATTTTACTATACTTTTTTTTGGATTTCCAGTAATTTATTGTAGGAATGTGTATATCCAGTAAATTTAGTTTAATATTCATTTTTGTTCATATTTAATAACACTTTTAGGAAATAAGTATCAAATTTAAAATTTAGTCAAATTATAAATGAATTCTTAATTTTGTTCGAGTCATATAATTTATAAAAAAAGATTTTAAAATTTTAGGCAGCCTATATAAAGTTCTTGCACGATACTAACATTTTTAAAAAATTAGTTTATAATGCAAAGTCTAGAATTTGATTGTAAAGGATAACAAAATAAATTGTCAAATAATATAATGTATTTTTTTCTACAATATTAATTTAAGCACCGGTTATATCACGTGAACCATCTCGAATTTGCTGTATTTCTTATGTAAATACATGTACATGTACATGTATATATGATCGCTTTTCCATGCTTACACAAAAACAACCATGTACGTAATACGTACATGATTTGCACTATGTCAGACTTGTTGCATTTTTACTGGACATATATATGTAATAGAGTGATCGATCACGAACGAACTGGACTAATTACGGATCCGGTACGGGGTCTCGAAATCCACAATCCCAACAGTTGATATGCCCGACAAACGAAATCCCGAAAATTCAACATCCCGAAAGTTCAACATCCCGAAACCCTAATTTACCGAAAATCCAACATCCCGTAATCCCAATTACTGCGCAAAAATTCAGTAAACTAGACACTAACATGAAGACATCAATTTATTATATAACGATAAAACCCAAAGACGACTATACACGTATGTAATTGAAAATCTATTCAATGACGAAATACGTAGCGTTTATGAAAAAAAACTCGTTTAAAAATTACAGTAGTCATAAAAAATCGGAGAACAGACGACAGAACAACATTAAGCCAAAAATAAGAACAGGATTAAAAATTTGCGTATCAATCGTATAAGAAGTAGAACAAAAATAATATTGAGCCAAAAATCAGAATAGAATTTGAATACTAGATAATAACGAATGAACTCATTTATCCACTGTGCTGAAATAAATTCGTATCCACTGAACCTTCATTGATAAACCTACATACTTGATTAAGGTATTCATAAGCGGGGTCATTGTCAAATGTGGGATTAGCCACATAGTGTGGTTGGAATAACCCCGTATCCATTGTGCTGAAATGTTGAAATAAATCCGTATCCACTGAACCTTCATTGGTAAACCTACGTGCTTGATTAAGGTATTCTCCATAAACGGGGTCATTTTCATCTAAGTCGAGGCTTAAATCGGAATTATTCTTTTGAGCGGGTTCATTTTCATCTAAGTCGAGGCATAAATTATTTTGAGCGAGTCCATAATGAACGAAATGTCGGTTGCTCCCAGTTGAATTTGAAATTATTTCATTCGCTTCTTCTTCTATTTTTTTAAAAAGTGCTTTAACATCGTGACCAGCTTCCTTCCAAGTAACGCTGAATAGTTTAGAATAATCAACAAATTGAATATTTACGAGCAAGCAGTTTGGATTCTTGCACGGTTTCGGCAACGATGCATCCGTCAAGGAAGCTTTATAAATCAAGCTGTAGTTCGGTGCTTTTGAATTACTTGTGTCAACAACTCGCTGAACCGTACGGGGTGGGAATGAAATAGTGTGGATACAATCGGATCTTTTAATCACAATTTCTATTTTACTATTGTCGGTATTTAACAGGCATGATTGAATATTATCATGTGATATATATGACATTTTTTACAGGAAAAAAATATTATTATTCCTAGAAGATAGTAATATAATGCGTATAGTCAGACTTCGATTTAACGATGGGTTGGGATATATAGTAAGAAATCAAAAAAATCTTGTTATTTCAGAGATTCATGATATTAAGGTGATGCTAAGTCGCCTGACTGTATATATAAAAAATTTCAGTAGTATATTTTTTATAATCCATTACCTTTCCCAAAAAAAGCAATCGAATAAAGAAACACCATAACTTGCCATTTGATTAGTACAATCTGAAACGTGCGAATGATTGAATAGAAAATTAGAAAGATACAACACAAAATTTTCAATCGACAATAAGTAAAAAAGGAAATCAAATAGATGTATACATAGATTTTTGCATAGTAACATTTACGTAATTAGCAATTTGATGTAAAAAGTAGTTTGGTGACCCTGTGTGATTTAGAATACTCCAGTGTATTTGCAGAAAGATTTATTTTTGTTAATTCCATAATAAATATAAAGTTTTTCTTGTAATGACACGCTTTTTTTTACGAACTAGCTATGACGCGTCCAAATTAGAGAAAGCAAGAGTATTCTAAACACAGTTTTTATAGATTAATTTTAATAAAATTCGAACGCGCATACAATAATAACAACATTTCAATTTCAATATTCAACGATGATTAATATTTAATCCAGCAATAAATTTTTAGAAGAGAAAACAGGAATAGAAAACTTTGAAGCAATTTAGTATTAATTCAAACTTTTGTTTTTGCGAGTTTTTATATATTCGTGCACACGGAGAAAACTCGCACTAAAATCCCCCAAAAAAGCAAATTAAATGTTTATTGATGTTTAGAAACAATCAAAATGAAGCCAATAATATAAGTAAGAACAAAATGTAAACGAGGTTTTTTAAAATGACTTATTTGTTCTAATTTGATCCACACACGATTGTTTATCACTCTTTCTAAAGCATAGACAGAGAAAAGTTCCCTAAAAGAGAATTTGCATGATTCAACTCATACTAAAGAATTTTATTCATTAAATGCCAAATAAACATATAAAACACCGCATGGTTCCAAGAAGACACATTTTCTTTCATTCTTCTATTGTTAATTCGAGATTTGTTATCACAAATAATGAAACAAGTCATTCATTAGCAATTATTCATCATATGCATTCGGCGTAAACAAAAAATAGTTCGGAAGAGAAAATCCACATTGTATAATTGCTAAAAAATGCCATTCAATATTCAAATGACAAAAAAAGTCAACGAACAAGGAAAAAACAAGTTTAAAAATTGTGTTTCAAATATGAAACGCGTATTCTTCCGCGATTTGAATGAGAACCAAATTTTTTATCATTTGACCTCTCATTGTATTCATGCCATTTCTTTCCATTACTAAGGCTAATGTTGCCTTGTCTTACTATGCGTCATGCATCATGTTGTGTAGATCGATTTGTTTACATACATATTTCCATTACTAAGGCTAATGTTGCATTGTCTTACCGTCACTATGCGTCATTACAAAATAGCTAGATCGAATGGTTACATATACGTCAAATTGTGGCGGCTGAAGCTGAAACCTGGCTAATGCTGAAATTAACACATCCTATTGGCTGATCAATTTTTATTCTCTAATTTCATTGATTAATTTCAGCATCAGCCGCGACAATTAATAATAACAATACAATTAATTGATGTCAAATTCACTAAAGTATTTGTGACATGAAATCGTTTCATTTGAATAAAATTGATGCGTTAAAGCGTTGCGAGTCTGGTGATCTGTCTAGTATCCAGCCATGGCGAAAAAAGTGTCAGTCATGTAATTCCGATACCAACCATCCGATATCCCCTTTAAAATTATGCACCAATCAAATCGCAAGATCAATGTGTAAATGTGTAATGCAACAAATCGAAAACAAACGCTTACTTTTGAAAAATAGCTTGTATAGTATCTTAAAGTTTACTTATGAAACAGTCATTTGTATTCTAACAAAAAATATTTTACTATATATTATATTATGTTTCTGTCTGCTATATGCTATGTAATTACCTTAACCCCACACATATATTAACTCTAATCGAAACTTTATTTAATATAATTAAGGGGGAGGTCGGATGTTCAGCATCGATATCGGAATCACATGATCTGATACTTTTCACCATGGCTAGATCTGGCCAAGAAACAAGCCAATAAGAATGCATAAATTTTTGATCAATCCGGAAAACAAATCCGAAGCACGAACGTAAATATGGAAAATGTATGCTTTAATTTATCTTTGCGCACTAAATAAAAATGTCGGTGAGGCAATTTTATATATGCTCTAACACCAAAACCAACCTTAAACATATCACATGACTCGCAATGCTCTAACGCATTTCCTTTTATAGGAATTATTTCAAATTAGTGTTCTGAATGGTTCGGATCAATTCGAAACCGATCCAGAACGGACCGAAAAATCATTTCGGGTTGATCACCAAAAAAATGGTCCGGTTTCGGGTTTAACCCGAAATTTCGACTCAATCCGAAATGATATATATGTTGTGCCTCAGATCGATGCTCGTGTCAGGTGACAGCTGATGCACCTCAGATATCAATCGTTAAATGAGGCATCTCAAATAATCTGAGATGCGTCAGCTGTCATCTGACGCATTTAATATATCATAATTAAATCGCAAATTTCACATTACAATTTTTGTGTATTTAAAAGCACAATTTGCTTTACAATTACATACAGTGCATACAAGCTAAAACCGACCAATCACGTGATCTTGTTTCAATTTTCAAAATTTTCAATCTAAAATTTAA